GGAGGGGAGAATGACAAATTATACAAGAGTAAAAGCTTTGCGTGTGTGCTTTTCTCAAGTTCCCTGAAGTACCTCACTAACTAACCCATTATGGGGGTTTTTTCATCGCATCCTTATCTCTCTTACACTTAGCGTTTCCTGTATTGCGTATTATTGCCCCCGAGGTTGATAGTTTTGATGTTTGTTTTATCGTCTTTTTGTCGTGGGAGTCGTTTGCATCATCGTTGCTACGTGCGTCCGATTATTGCCACTAATATTGTCGTTATTTTCAGTCGAAAACATCTCTTTTCTTCTTCTCTTCCTTGTTCTGTCCGGACACTCCCCACCTCTCAGTGCAACTAGCTCGTGTTTTTGTCCCGTTAATTTGCAAAACGCCCGCTTTGATGCAAGGATCTCTAAGGAGCCAATAAGCAGTACCCGCGACAAAAGCCTGGAGGGGCATTGCTCTCGTTACGAGCACTCAATTCCCCTTTGTACCTCGTCTTTAGGAAACATCATTACAATTATTAAAAGGATTGCAGGTAGCTGGATGCTTGTAGCATTTTAGTATCTTATAACAACTCGCGGACATTGAAAAGAAATTCTTGGCCTTTTTCTCATTTTGTTGGTTTTATAACTCCGCTCGGTTTCGTTTTTTTAAGTGCTGGTTTTATTCTCGTGGAGACAAGGTTATTGAAAGAAGCTTCAGTTTTAGGAAAACGAAGACCACTGATGCTGCTATTGAGATGCAAACAAAGTAGATAAATGAGCAGAGAAAGGAAATGAGAAGGGAATGAAATGAAAGAAAGAAGGAAGGAGACGGAAGATTAGTTTATATGGCCGGAAGTAGCAGCTCTTAGTATAATCTCCGATGCCTCTCTTGTTTCTCAAATGTGCATTTCCCGCCTCCCTCGCCCATGAAGGCACACACACAGACAGACACTCAGACTAGTTGGCGCACAGGCAGCAACTATAGACGTTGTCCCTTGGTGTCGATTATACACTTGTTCTGGCTGCTATTTGTCATAAACCCCCGCCAGAGGCCTCCTCGCGTTTGGGGGTACGCGGTTACCTCGGCGGATTTGAGATTTCTACGTTATCGGTGGGATGAAACTAATTCCTCCCTTGTCTCAGTTGAGATTAGACGTTTATAGAGCCGTATCGAGGGAGATTAACGCATTTTATGTCCCTAGCCGACACCTGATCATTTTTATTTTTTAATTGCTCTTGTGGTGGTAGACTTGGCGTCGGGAGCGAGGGGGTGGGGCAAGGGTCTGGGAGGTGGGCAGGTTTTCAGACATTGTTTGAAATCGCGGACGGCTCCGTGAAACGT